GGGGCGGGCCCCAGCCATTTAAATTTAAATGAAGCCGCGATTATTTTAATCGCGGCTTCATTTCCCTTTTCCGATCTGGCTAATCTACATGCCTCCGTCGAAGGAGGCATGTAGTCTAGACACACCCTTAGATAGTAAGTGTTTTTGCTCAAATTCAAGCAGCCAGTGTAGACAGCTGGCAAGTTTTTCCGCAAAAGCAGCTGCTTTTGTGGAAAAACTTGCCAGTCTAGACGCAGCCATTATGTTTTTACATGACTATATTAATCTGTGAATCTCACATTGTGCTGTTCTCTGAATGTGCATGCTCTTTTGCTCCAAATGACAAAATATGTTAATTTAATATTAGATGAAAGAAAATGAGGATATTTTCATATTGCCTCCTGTCAGATCTCTTCCTGTCACTTGTTCCTAGAAAGAAACAAACAAAAAACCCCTACTCTGAGCCATAATTAATTCTTCATATTAAAATTGTGTGAATCACTTATGTAAATGTCAAAATTAGTTTTTTTTTAACTTTTTAAAATATTAAATATATAAAAGTGCCACTTTCCCGTTAAAATAAATGAAGAAAGCTAATCATTATGCCTCTGATGAGCTTATCCCAGAGCAGGATTGGATCCTTAGAAGGTAGCAGAGGACACCTATGTCTAGTAGACTAAGCATAGGGCTGGGAGACAGAAGATCCTTGGTTTATTCCTCTGCCAGTGAGTCACTGTGTGCCCTTGGACATGTTATTTACCTTTGCTATCTCTCTTTCTACATATGTAAAATAGGGGTGATAACGTGCTTTGAGATCTATAGATGCAAGTGCTGTGAATTGCAGAATGTCAGGGAAGGTTACGACCCATGACAACCAAGCTCACGGGTGGGGGATGTGTGGGAGAGGGCAATTGCCCAAAGCGTGGATAATTTAAAAGGGTTTGCGGGTCTCTGGTAGCTGCAGCTGCCGGCAGTGCAGCAGAGCTAAGGCAGGCTTCCTGCCCACCCTCAGTCCGCACCTCTCACAGAAGTGGCCAGCATATCACTGTGGCCCCGGGGTGGGGGAGAGGAAGTCTCCATGCATGTGAGTGCCAACTCCACAGATCCCATTGGCTAGGAACTGTGGCCAATGGGAGCTGTAGAGGGCAGAGCCTACAAGTAGCAGTGCACGAAGGCCTCCTGCTCTCCTGCCCAGAAGCTGCTTCCAGAGGGATGTGCTGGTCACTTTCAGCAGCCACCCCAGGTAAGTGCTGCCCCTCAGCACCCCAACCCCTCTCCAGCCCTGAGCCAGCACCCAAACTCCTTCCCACACCCCAACCCTTTGCCCCAGCCTAGAGCCTGACTCTAACCCCCTGAACCCGAACACCCTCCCAAAGCCCAACTCCTGCTCCCCTCCTGCACTCCCAACTTCTGCCCCAGCCTGGTGAAAGTGATGGGAATGAAGTGAATGGGGAGTAGGACGGGGCAGAGCCTCAGGGAAAGGGCAGAGTAAGGGTCTTTGGATCTGCACATTTACACACAAGCATGCAGAAGCCCTGGCGGTGCTGGAAAAGCTCACTCTGAAGCACAGTGGGCAGCTTGCTGGGCAGGCACAGCACCACCCAAATGCCAATGGACGTAGGTCTGGCTTGTGTGTGTGTGGTAGCCCATTGATGGTTCTGCCGTGGGGCCTGGAATTGCTCTCAGCACACCGGATCACAGCTTTAGTGCACATTCCTTATTTTCACACATCAGAACCAAGTCCAGTGAGTCTGGAACTGATTTAATACCCCTTTGGTAGCAACAATGTGTTTTCACAACCTGACACCTTGTCAGTATCTGATGACATCATTTGACAACGGGATGATATAACATGATTGTGCACTGAGAATATTGGTTTTGGGTCAATCTCCATGGGTATGTCTACACTACCCCCCAATATTGGTTTGGGGTCAATCTCCAGCAGCCCCTTCATTGGCTAACCTCACTGTGTGCCCTTTAGATTGAAACCTGTATGTTTGAAAATGTGATTGTTTTCTTCTCTTTCTTGTGTTAAGGAGGTGAACTTTTTACCTGGGGACAAAACTCATACGGTCAGCTTGGCACGGGGAAACACCTCTCTACCTGTGAACCACAACTTGTGGAGGAGCTCAGAGACATCCCCCTGGCTCAGATTGCTGCAGGAGGAGCTCACAGCCTTGCCCTGTCACTCTCAGGAGCTGTTTACTCATGGGGGAAGAACGATTTTGGACAGCTGGGCCTTGGAGACACAGAAAGTAAGAAAGACACAGAGCACGCTAGCTGAGACTCCCCTAAAAAGGCTTTTAAAAAAAGTGGTAGTCATTCTAAGGATGCTTATAAGAATTTATTAGGCCTTTGTTTGCTTCAGAATTTATTAGGCCTTTGTTTGTTGACTTACCATTGTGGTCAATCTACATTGTTTTTATTTTCAGACAAATATAACCCTTCATATATTAGAGCTCTAGAACATAAGAAGACTGTATATATCTCGTGTGGCGGAGAGCACACTGCAGTTCTCTCACAGGTTTGGTTGAATTTGAATTCATTCACTTCACAGAGCAGAAGGAAAGCCTCGCCTAATAGAGCTGATACCAATGGCTAGAATGTTAACTCCCTGCAAAGGCCATGTTTACATTTATGGGAATTTGAAACTGGCCCCTGGAAGTTGCAAACGGAATTTTGTAGGACCATAGTCTACTTAAATTCCCACAGAAGATTAAATGAGTTGTTCTCATTCAGCCATTGATTATCAAAGAACCCAGTGAACATTCTAGTGGTGTCTGGCAGAAATTGATACTTTGAACCCAAGTACATGGAGACTGGATGTCTCAAGGCAACATCAACAATACGCCGTTCAACTGTCAATGATGACCAAACGTTATTACTTTTTGCTGTCTTTTATCATGTTCTTATTGATAAACAGGACCACTGGCAACAATCCTGGGCCTCAAGCCCAAACAATAAACGGGTCTTGTAGGATGAGGTCTGTCTGACATTTGGATAGTGCTGCACCTGTGCTACTGGTGCCCTGCAAACTGCTGCCAGCTGTGCTGCTGGCATGTTCCCTATTTTATTCTCATCCCGTGAATAATAAATTTTATGTGCACCAAGGTATGTGCAGATGTGCACCACCAGTAGAAAAAAAAAGCTAGCTAAACTATATATATTTTAAAAATAAACTTAAAAAACAACAAATGGTCTGGTAGCGCTTTATAAACTAACAAAACATGTAGATGGTATCACAAGCTTTCATGGGCACAGCCCACCTTTTCAGATGACTGGAGTTTTGAGTTTAGGATGTCCATACCCAAAATAAATAGGGGAGAAGGAAGAGGGAGTGAAGGAAAAAAAAGCAGGGGGCGGGAAACAAGAGCAGAGGGTATAAAAATATCAAAGGGAAAATCAAACAGGCAAAACTGGTAATCTATAAGCACCTAAAGATTGGATAGTTAAAAGAAGCAGATAAGGATCATTGGATAGCAATTAGAGAGGAAGAGTACTAACGCAAGAATCTACACAGACAAAGGGCTGTTGGCACCTTCATTGAATGTTAGGTTGATAATGTCCCACCCATCCGTTATCTCGATTGAGGTGTGAGAATTGAATTTGTGGATGAATTGTAATTCCAATGCCTTTCTGTGTATTTGGCTTGCAGAATTGGTTTGTGACAAGACAGCCACCTGGAGATCTTTTAAAGAATGACTAGGTAGATTGAAGTGTTCTCCAACAGGTTTCTGTGTGTTCCTTTTGTGGCTATCTGATTTGTGTCCATTGATTCTTTCCCGTAGGGACTGTCCAGTTTGGCCAATATATATAGCTGTGGGGCATTGCTGGCATTTGATGGCATAGATCAAATTACTGGATGTGCAATTAAATGAGCCTTTGATTTGGTAGCTTATGTTGTTGACTCCAGTGATGAATTCGCTTGTATAGATATGTGGGCAGAGTTGACATCACGGCTGATTGCAGGGTTGGGTTCCTGGATATTTATGATGTGATTGTGTAGCATGGTTACCAGAAAGAATTCGTTTCAGGTTGGGGGGTTGCCTGTAAATGAGAATAGGCTTTTCCCCCAAGGCCTGTGAGAGTGAGGGATCATTTTCCAAGATGGGTTGCAGATTGTGTATAATGCATTGGAGGGTTTTGAGTTGTGGACTATAGGTAATGACAAGTGGAATTTTGTTATTTTCTCTTTTGGGTCTGTCTTGAAGTAGTTCACGTCTAGGTACTTTTTTGGCTCTGCCAATCTATTTTTTCACTTCTCCAGATGGGTATTTCAGTTTTAGGAATGCTCTGTAAAGATCCTGTAGGTGATTGTCTCTCTCAGTGGGGTCGGAGCAAATCCGGTTGTATCTTAGGGCTTAGCTACATACCATAGATTGAGAAATGTATCTGGGATGGAAGCTGGAGGCAAGAAGGTAAGTGTAGTGGTCGGTGGGTTTCTGGTATAGGGTGATGGAAATGTGTCCATTATTTAACTGTACTGTAGTGTCCGGGAAGTGGATTTCTCGTGTGGACTGGTCTAAGCTGAGGTTGATGGTGGGGTGGAAATTGTTGGAAATCCTTGTGAAATTCTTCAAGAGTCTCTTTTCCATGGGTCCATATGATGAAGATGTCATCGATGTAGCGTAAATAAAGTAGGTTGTTAGGGGGCGAGAGCTGAGGAAACGTTATTCAAGGTCAGCCATAAAAATGTTGGTGTATTGTGGTGCCATGTGGGTGCCCATGGCTGTGCTGTTGACTTGGAGATAGAAATTGTCTCTGAATTGGAAGTAATTGTGGGTGAGGACAAAGTCGCACAGCTCTGTAATCAGGAGTGCAGTGTTGTTATCAAGGATGGTGTTCCTGATGGCCTGTAATCTGTCTTCATGTAGAACGTTGGTGTAAAGAGCTTCTACATCCGTAGTGGCCAGGATGGTATTTTTCTACATGTTTTGTTAGTCTATAAAGTGCTACCAGACCATCTGTAGCTTTTTAAGTTTATTTATTAGGTTTATTCATATGAGTAAAGTCCTTAAGCAAAGGACTATTCTCATGAGTAAACTTACTCACACGTATACATAATGCAGGATTAGGCCTTATTTTAGCATTAATGCATTTGCATTTGTATCATCCACTCTCTGATCTGTGGCCTATAACGTGTTATGTCTTACATGTATGCAGTATTGCTGTAGCCATGTGGGTCCCAGGCTATTAGAGAGATAAAGTGCACGAGGTAATATCATCTCTTGACCAGCTTCTCAAAAACTTGTCTCTCTTGCCAGGAGAATTTGGTCCAACAGAAGATATTACCTCACCCGCCTTGTCTCACTAATGTCTTACATGGATAGTTGACTATACTTGTGAGTTAACTTGTGTAAGCATTCACAGGATCAGGCCCCTAGTTGGCAATGATTATTTTTTAACAGTGTGTGCTATTCTGGGATTATATGACCCTGATGTCTGTATGTTCTTCTCCAAGGATGGGCTGGTGTGTACCTTTGGTGCTGGAGGTTTTGGGCAACTTGGTCACAACTCCACCCAGAATGAGCTGATACCTCGTATTGTGGCTGAGCTGTTTGGAGCAAAGGTGTCTCAGATAGCATGTGGAAGGTAGGAAATAGCAATGTCCCTGAAGCTTTATAAAAACAAGGAGATAACTTTGCAGATGTTTTTGGGAAGCATTAGAAGATATTAGGAAAAGACTTTTTTTTCAGATCCCTTTATTTTAATGAATCACCGCTGATAGAATATTGATTAGACACACATTTTATTTATTAATTTTCCCACACACATCCTGCCATGCATTGAATTTCATGAGGGCAAAGTCCTCCAATGGAGTGAACTGATTTAAAAATTGTACTGTGCCCATAATCCCTGGCTGCTGTTCTCATCAAGTGATGAAGAATACAAACAGAAAAAGACCATCAAGTTACCTAACAGGGAAGAAATCTACCAAAATTTCCAATCAATCCCTGTACAACCAGGGAAAATGGTGATTCCTTACAATCTAACTGTGAATGATGGAAACTATGAAATTACATTCAGTCATTAAGAGTCTAATACAGTGCCCACTGAAATCAACCAAAAGTCTCCCATTGACTTGAGTGGGCTTTGGATCAGGTCCTGAAAACAGGAAAATATGTATGCTTGCCAAATGGAAAAATATTAAGCCAGAACACTTCACTGTGGCTACCTCTAGACTGCAAGCCTTTTTGGAAGGAGGCTTTTCTGAAAGATATTTTCGAAAAAGCCTCTTTCGAAAAAGAGCATCTAGACTATGACCAGTACTTTCGAAAAAGCAAGCCACATTTTCAAAAGAGAGCACCCAGGCAGTCTGGATGCTGTCTTTTGAAAAAGCACAGTTTGCATTACATAGCGCCTTTTTTCGAAAGCGCATTTTCAAAAAAAGGTGTTATTCCATGTAAAACAAGGTTTTCTGTGGTCAAAAAAACTGCCACTTTCTTTTGCTTTACTTTTGAAAGAACGCAGCCCCAGTCTAGACACAGGGGAAGTTTTTTTAAAAAAGGCCACTTAAAAAAAAACCTATAGTCTAGACATACCCACTTGTGAAAGTAAAGAGCTGTCTGGAAGCAGTGGAACAGTGTTCCTTTAACTGAAGGTGTATACATTGTTCTTTCACTTCTGTATCCTTATTATAAGGAGTACCCTGCAAATTTGACTGGAGGGCTTCTATAGCATGGTTCTCAGTAACTTTAATAGGAATTACCCCATGTACCATTCTGAAAATTTGCTTGTCTGTGTTATCCTAGCTTGCTCAATGGCACTTTTATGTTGTCCATTTTCCTTCTCTGAACAGATGGCACACACTCATCTATGTCCCCTCCTTGGGAGAAGTCTATTCATTTGGCTGTGGAGCAGAAGGTCAACTGGGAAATGGGGACACATCTAATCGGTTGATACCACTGCCTGTCCAATTCCCTTCAGATTGGGTGAATGGTGGAAAACTCAACCAGGGTAATTTACAGAGTAGATCTTTGTGAGCTATACATGATCATTTTAGGTCCCAACTAGGAAGGAGTTTGGTTTTTAAATGAAAAACACATTTTGCTTAATGAGAAAAGTGAGATGAGCATGACAAAGAAAGGATTCAGAACAAGAAGATTCATCCCTAAACACTGGATGCAATGCAATTAAAAGCAATTGAAAGCCTGAAGAATATCATATAATCACAGAAGACTAGGGTTGGAGGAGATCTGAGGAGGTCATGTGGTCCAACCCCCAGCCCAAAGCAGGACCAACCCCAACTAAATCATCCCAGCCAGGGCTTTGTCAAGCCAGGATTTAAAAACCTCTAGGGATGGAGATTCCATCACCTCCCTAGGTAACCCATTCCAGTACCTCACCACCCTCCTAGTGAAATAGTTTTTCCTAATATCCAACCTAGACCTCTCCCACTGCAACTTGAGACCATTGCTTCCTGTTCCATCTTCTGTCACCACTGAGAATAGCCTGGCTTTTTACTCTTTGGAACCCAGCTACAGGTAGTTGAAGGCTGCTATCAAATCCCCCCTCACTCTTCTCTTCTGAAGACTAAACAAACACAAATCCTTCAACCTCTCCTTGTTACTAATGTGCCCCAACCCTCCAATTCATTTTGTTGCTCTCCACTGGACTCTTCAATTTATCCGCATCCTTTCTCTAGTGGGGAGCGCAAAAATGGATGCAGTACTCTAGATGCCACCTTATCAGTGCTGAATAAAGGGGAATAATCAGTTCCCTCGGTCTACTGGCAATGCTCCTACTAATGCAGCCCAGGATGCCATTAGCCTTCTTGGCAATGAGGGCACACGATTGACTTGTATCCAGTTTCTCATCTACTGCCATCTTCAGGTCTTTTTCTGCAGATTTGCTGCTTAGCCAATCAGCCCCTCTCCTGTGGCAGTGTTTGGGATTCATCCATCCTAAATCTCATCACAAGTGCCATCAACTCCCATACCAAACTTAGTTTTAATGAAAAGGACAGATGTCTTTTCAACAGCAGACCCTGGTGTTTATTAGGGTTACTTATCTGGGATGGGCGGGGGTGTTAATATTTCTATCAATATACTGCTTGTGTCACTTGTGTTCTCATTTGGAGCTCTAGTTCTCCCTTCTGCCAATTCCCTCCCAATGGAGCTATCCTGAAGAACTTAGGTTCCCCAGGGTGGGTTCTTCCCACTCTAGAATCAGATGAACACACACACCCTAACAGAGCACATCTGGGAGAACTGGTTTATCAACACTCACAAGCTGACCCCTCCTATGTGTCTGGACTCAGTAGGCTGGGTTGCATAGAAATGCCAACCTCTGATCTTATGTGCCCTTGGACTTAGTGAGCTGGATTAAACAGCACCTTAAGCTGCTACCCTCATATATCCCCAAGTTAAGCACGTCCCTGTTCCCACTTTCACTCCATGATCATTCCTCTAGTAACCCACTTGATGAGCAAACCCTACAGGATTTTGGGGTGCTACAGGGACCTTCTTCTTAGGTACAAGGAGCGTTGCAGCAGAGTTAATGGGAAAGCCAAAAACAACACCCCCTGGGGGTGGGGAGGAGGAGAGGGAGAGAAGCAACCAGCTTAACCATGGAAGTCATTTATTTCCAGGTAGGAACCATACAAGGGGAGCAAAACAAACAAACCAATTACAATATTAAATCTAACTTAAGTCTGATGACAAAAGTGAAGGCTGGCAAACCATAACTGATCACATAAGGCAGAGTCAAGAGGCTATATTTAGAGAGAGAGACAGATCTCACCACCCCATGAAGCTTGAATTAATCTAGGTTCCCAGGTTGTGATGGTAGCTGGGGGTCCAGAGTGCTGGAGACAGACAGAGCAGAGCCCCAAGCTCAGTCAGTAGAAGATGAAATCCCAATGGAACTGATACAGCATTTAGATCCACGACAGTGGTTCAAAAAGGAATAGTAGATTTGCTTATGGGCAAGCTGATGATTCGAGGAACTAACGCAAGAATCTACACTAGAGGAATGATCATGGAGTGAAAGTGGGAATAGGGATGTGCTTAACCTGGGGATATATGAGGGTAGCAGCTTAAGGTGCTGTTTAATCCAGCTCACTGAATCCAAGGGTGACACCCGTTGGGGTGGGGGTAAGAAGCAGGAGCCAGGGCTGGGGGAAGCTGGCTTAAAAGCCAGTCCCCCCCAGCATTGACTCCACAATGCTGTCTCCCCCCCATTCGCACAGCAGCTGCCTCTATCAGACACAGCAGAGGAGAAGTGGGGGCAGGGAAGGCTGCCGCAAAGCAACATCTGCCCGTGACAAGCCCAGGAGCATCCTTCATCCCACAGAGCAGCCCCTGTCCACAGCTGCTCGGGCTGGCTGCAGAGGCTGTTCCAGCAGCGGCCCGTGTAGGTGGAGGCGGGGGTCCAAGTAGGGACTTTTGTTGTGAAGGAGCTCTTGTTCATGGCAGCCCTGCTGTGGCTCTGCATATTAAATGTAATAGGAGCCGGGCTGCCTGCACGCCCAACTCTTACTTTGTTTAAATTGCAGAGCACCAGTGGGGGTTAACTTCCTTTATCGACTAATTGTGTAGTTAATAAAAATTATATCGACTACATGATTAGTGAAATACCCGCCTCTTAACATCCCGAGTTTGAGGCACTGGGATAAATCCAGATCTCTCTCGCATATCAGTTGAAAATGCACCAATATTGAAGTCAGAACAAAATTAGTTACTTATTCAAAGTTAAATATGGAATATAATGAGAAACACCAGTGCAACAAAGGAAACAGACTCCTTCTTTAAGATGTATTATAATCTTAAAGTGATTCTGGTTAACTAGCAGTGGACAGCCTTTATCCTTCTCAGAAATGGGGTTCCTCTGGGTTTTATGTTTATGAGAATGTGACTTTCCTTGGGTCTCTTTAGGCTTGATAACCACTGCACACCACTCTTCTGTGGAAGGAGCTCTGCTTCTGTGTCGCACATCTCAAACTAAAACCGTCCATGAATGAGAGAAAATCCAGGTTCCCTCAACTGGGGCTTCTCTTCAGCTGATATCTTGCCAACCAGAAGATGCAGGAACTTGCATGCTGCTTTTAGATTGGCCATCCACCCACTTTCAGTGACTTAGATGAAAATGTCCCTCGGTTGCTTGCTGATCCCATCGTGGACAGATGTATTGCTTCACCATGATAAATAAATGTTATATAGAATCAATTCTGAGGGCTCGGAGCCTTCAATGAGTTTCTAAAGCTTGTGGCTGTGTCTAGACTGCATCCCTTTTCCGTAAAAGGGATGCAAATTAGACACATCGCAATTGTAAATAAAGCAGGGATTTAAATCCCCCCCGCTTCATTTGCATAAACATGGCTGCCGCTTTTTTCCAGCTTGGAGCTTTGCCAGAAAAAAGCGCCAGTCTAAATGGGGATCTTTCGGAAAATAAAGCCTTTTCCAAAAGATCTCTTATTCCTCTTAAAATAAGGAATAAGGGATCTTCCAGAAAAGGAAATGCATCTGACGAAGTGGGTCTTTGCCCACGAAAGCTTATGCTCCTACACTTCAGTTAGTCTATAAGGTGCCACAGGACTCCTCGCCGCTTCTTCGGAAAAGGCTTTATTTTCCGAAAGATCCCCGTCTAGACTGGCGCTTTTTTCCGGCAAAGCTCCGAGCTGGAAAAAAGCGGCAGCAATGTTTATGCAAATGAAGCGGGGCGGATTTAAATCCCTGCTTCATTTGCAATTGCGATGTGTCTAATTTGCATCCCTTTTACAGAAAAGGGATGCAGTCTAGACACAGCCTGTGTGTTTTTATATGCCTTGCACTGACTTTTCTAGGATAGGGAATGGTTCTTTGACTCATTCTTTTCTTCTTTATTCTTTCACAGGAAACAATACCTCTGAAAAGGTGATTAAAATTATTGCAGGAGGAAACCAAAGCATTGTGCTTCGCTTGAAGAAAAAGGTATGCAACATATCTGATATGTTTTTAACAATGTAGCTCATGGCCTAGGCTTCTGCTTTACTGCAATTAAGCCAGATATGAATTTGCATTTGCCCCATAACAGGTTTTTCTTCCAAAATCACAGTAATCTCCCTACCTCCCTGCATTCCTATAGGTCAAATTGTGTTAGAAAAGCAAATCTCTCTTTTATGTTTTATCTTGACATCATTTCTGTTTGTGGCACTTTCTACTAATTGGAAGTCCGTTTGTTCACTCACCGTTGGGCCCACAGAAGGCTGTGATCCTAGCTAACCAGAGTCCCATGGACTGGGCTTCTAACCTCATTAACACTCTGGCCCTTTTTATATAGAATCCATATGTTACTTTGAACGGAATTGCCACAGTGGAAGACAAGGAGGTGGATAAATGGATTTCTAATTTGGATTCTAAACAGTGGGAGAATATAAAGAAGTAAGTCAGATCCCCGATGATTTTTTCTATTAATACTGTAAACTCTAAACTTTATAAACACTGGTATTTTCTAGATACCACCCTTCCCTTTCAAAAAATCCTGTAGCAAATGCAATAAAAAGGATCATGGCAGAGATGCAGAATTGGTTATTTGCTGTTTAGAGACTCAGTCCAGCTTTCTTTACTTCATCTTTGCTCAGCCAAAACTCACATTGATTAAGGGCTTTATCATTTGGCCCTTAGTCATAATTTTTATGCAAAGAGATGGAAGTGGATATTTCCTGAGTACAGAGGTTGAGACCCAAAGGTCATCTTTAGGAGGATATCCTCTATGGATGTAAACAAGCTTATTGGTTAATCTAGTCAACTACTCACGTTCCCCCTTCCCCACTTGCTGCCTCTATATCAGAGGCACAAGGTGGAGAGAAGCAGGAGCTGGTGCAGGGGGAAGCCATCTTAAAAGCCGAGTCCCCCCTGCACCTGCTCTGCAGTACTGCCTGCCCCCCCCCTCCACTGCTGCCTCTGATAGGCAGCTACGAGGAGGGCAGGGGACGGGCCCAGTCTTAGCTTGGACCCCCCATGGACAGGGGCTGCTGCGAAGCAGCCTCTATTTGCAGCTAGCCTGGGCTGCCATGGACAGAGGCTTCTTCACAGCAGCCTCTCCCGCCCCATCGCTTCACTCCCAGCAGCCTCTGTCCGCTGGGAGCTCGGACTCTCCACAGACAGGGCTGTTGCCATCCTGCACTGCTGTCTCCGTATCAGAGGCAGTAGTATGGGACAGCAGGCAGCCTGTCTGCACAGGGCTGGTCTGCAGAGGCAGAATTGCGTGATGGCAGGGTGATCTCCAGGAGTGAATTTAGAGCGCACTGGCTGATGCCTCTGCCCCCGGGGACTACAGAATAGTCAACTAATCGCTTAGAATTCATGCAACTATTCAATTATTCTATTACCTGCTATCTAACATCCCTAGTATCTGCTTATAATTGCAAATATAGAATTGTCACTAGTGTTCTTGGGAGTTAAGAGCATACATTCAGGGAGAGACTCAAGCCAAAGGATAGTGGCCTAAAGCAAAAGAGCCTAATGCAAAGTCCATTAAGCAGAATGGCTGAAATTTTCAGGAGGACTCAGCATGCACAGTTTTGGGGCCTGATTTTCAGAATTGCTTAGTTCTCTTTTAGGCCCAGAAATAATTGGTCAGATTTTCAAAATAATTTGGTACATAGGGAATCTGGAATGATGAACACTTTTGAAAATCTCACCTTTTTGAATTTCCTGAAAAGGAGCTACCTTTCTTTTGGGAAATCTGACCCCAATTATGCATGACGACTACTTCAAAAACTGGCCCACAACTCTTGAAAATCTATCCCACGTGGCTAATCTGGCTCTCAGTGATTTTCCAATTATTGTTAATCTAATATAAGTGGCAAGAAAAGTGCCATTTAGAACAGCTGGGATCTTTGAGTCACAAACTGACTTGTGCACATTTTTGCATTTTATTCAGACTGAATACCTGTTACTTCTGGTTTCATTGGAATGATTAATTTTGGTTGTTGATTTTATTGTTGTTCTTTTAAATTAACAGGACTATCTGGCTGATCTTTTCATCTGCGGCTTGTATCAATGGAAGTTTCTTGGAAAAAAGGTAGAGTGCACTAATTTGGAAAAAAAATACAGGTTGGACCTCCCTAGTCTGGCTCCCTTTCCAGACCAAAGAAGGTCGGGGGCAAGGGAAGGAGAACAGCCTCTCCACTGGGCTCCCTAGCTATCTGGTACCACTGCCCTTGGCTGAGGCAACCCTGTAGGCTCTGACAGCCCCGCCAGCCCTGGGAGCCATGATGGTGGCCCTGCAGGTGCTCACAGCCCTGCCAGCTGTGGGCTCAGCAGCCTGCCCCCTTCTTGGCCCTGTCGCCTACAGGCTTGGTGGCCCCCTCGGCCCCGCAGACTACGGTAGCTCCACTGGCTCCCCAGCCTGTCCAGCTGTGGGCTCCACTGCCCAGTGCACTCCACTGCCCCGCTGGCCCCACTGACTGGCTCTGCTTCCAGTCTCCAGAAACCTCTGTGCTGGGGTTCTCTAGTCCAACAACATCCATGGTCCTGCTAGACCAGAGAGTCCCAGACCAAAGAAGTTCAACCTGTAGTGCATCAACTGTGTTTAAATTGGTCAGAAATTACAATGAATATAGACATTGATAGGATTATATAAATTTGTAAAATATAAATTCTATAGAATATTTTTCAAGGAAAAACTAAAATTCTCCTCAGAGCCATATAACAAGATTTAAAAAAATGAATGCCTAAAACTAAGCTTCTAAATTCATATTTAGGCAATTAAATAAGCAGTCTGATTTGTAAAGGTGCTGAACAAATTCAGGAGCCATTAAGGTCAATAGGAACTACAGGTGTTTAGCACTCTTGCAAAATCTAGTCACTTTGTTGCCTAAATATGGATGTAGGAACCAAGACTTAGGCTATCCAAATTTGAAAATTTGTCTCTGTCTTCAGAAGTCCTTTCTCACACTAATGTAAATGAGTACTTTACATATGTGGAGCGGGCATAGGATCTGAACAGAGATTCATCATGTGGATATGAGAAAAGCACTTTACCAAAAATGAAGATAAGACAGGTTTGTCTCATACTAATATTTACTGTTAATGAACTTATATTTATATGGCATCTTATACCCAGAAGGATTCAAAATCTTTTCACAAATGTTACTTTACTCAGCACTGAAATGCAACCACTTCTAGGGTGGAATATGTCAACCATCTGACTAACAACACATAGCCACACTAAGGGTGTGTCTAGACTACAACTCTCTGCCGACAGAGAGATGTAGATCAGGCATGTCGAAATTGCTAATGAAGCAGGGATTTAAATATCCCGTGCTTCATTAGCATAAACAAGGCCACCGCTTTTTTTTGATACAGAGTTTAAAAAAAAAAAAAAAGCAGCAGTCTAGACGCGGATCTGTCAAAAATAAGCCCTTTTTCGACAGATCCTGTATTCCTCAAAAAAGGAGGTTTACAAGATCTGTCGAAAAAGGGTTTATTTTCGACATCTCTGCATCTAGACTGCTGCTTTTTTTGGAAAAAGCTACGTGTCAAAAAAAGCGGTGGCTATATTTATGCAAATGAAGCACGGGATATTTAAATCCCTGCTTCATTAGCAATTTCAACGTGTTTGATTTGTATCCCTCTGTCGACAGAGGGATGCAGTCTAGACGTAGCCTATGTGACTATGGCGTACGAAATAGCATTCAACTGATGCCAAAGTGAGAATTTCTTGGTAGGCAGAATATAATTATATTAATTAGAACCATGATTTAGTATTTCTAAGAATGTACATTCCCTTTACACATAAAGGTATTGTGAAATGCTCCAAAGTTTAGCCAGTAATAAATAGTAGAGGAGAAGATCTTTCACATCCCTGATTTTTCTTCTCTTTAGTAGGGACAAACATTTTAGGACCTCCAAAGAAATCTCAGGAGTAGATATGTCAGCAGTGCTTCTTTTTTATGAGAAGATGAACAAGAAGCCAAAAGTCGCTTGTGAGGTAAGAAGTGGTATAGAAATGATACTTTTTACACTCATACCTGATAGCTTTGGTCACAGCATTTTTTTTTCCACAAAGGAAAGCTGACAAAAATGTAGGTTGGGAGTTTTCAATTGTTTTACAGACTCTAAGGCTACATCTACACTGGCCCCTTCTACCTGAAAGTAGGAATAAGAGATCCTCCGGAAAAGGGCTTTATTCCGGAGGATCGCGCCAGTCTAGACGCTTTTTTTCCGGCTTTTCCCCAAGCCGGAAAAAAAGCGGCGGCCATGTTTATTTAAATCCCGCGGGGGATATTTAAATCCCCTGCGGATTTCCCTATTCCCAAGTTCAAAATTAGCATGCCCCTTCCGAAGAAGGGGCCAGTGTAGACGTAGCCAAACAGAAACAGGAAAAAACAACTCTACCACCTCTCAGAGCTGTTTCCAGTGGAGTAAAGAGAGTGTTGGTATTTTTTGTATTAATTTAGGAGTTGCCAAGATGTTATGTCAGTGAAGGCCATATTGACCTAGGTTGATATGTTTTCTGGTGTTTTTAATTTCTGTTATGCTTGTTTTTCTAATTCAAACTCAGAAAGTTTCAGACTCAGAAAGGGGAAAAACTGATTAAAATTAAAACTGAGCGATCTGCAAAATGTTGGTGTAGATGTAGAAGGTATGCATTATGCTTGGAATTCTACCAACACAGAATGCAAGATGGTTCCTGTCCCAAAATCACTTAAATCTCTAAAATGAGAGGCATATGGACAAGGGAGATCAGATCTCCTGATTCCCTGTTCAGTGTATAAAGGAAGACAGTGCATGAAACTATGAAGTCTGTGTTGTTCTTGCTGCTATAAGTAATAAATTATTGTGGAAAAATTCCTCTGCATTTTTAATTTCTCATCTTCCCCTACTACTTCAATCCACCAGGTGATCTCTGCAGTTCAGAACTTGCTGTCATCACTGTCTTCCTCTCCCTGCTCACCTGAAGCTCTCAGAGTCTACTTGATCATGCCTGTCCTTTTACGGGGACAGGGTAACGTGTCTGACTGTCCTCTTGACCAGCTAGCAAAAGCCACCCTGAGTCTCCAACAAAAATCCCTGAAAGTTCTTGGTATGGTCTGATAGAGTACAACTGGATCACCTCAGTTCTTGAGCACTTTTGGGGGGATATGAGGAGCGGGGTTGGAATGGGCAAGGAAATACTCCTATTAACTTCAGTGGGGCCAGAATTTCACTCATATATTTTCTGCAAGCTGGAAATATTTTGATAAGCTGTTTACATAGAAATGCATGCTAAAGGATAACTTGTATGGAGCAGTCTACAGATAAAAGCATTATTTGAGTTTGAGATTTACTGGTTTTCTCAGTTCATTAAAAAACAAAACAAACTGCTGTTTGTTCGACAGACAGCATTTACTGAGGACATGTTGCATGTTGTTTAAGGGAGAGGTGTCAACAGATATTTTCTTTACAGAATCCTTATGGTCAAATCTAGAAATATCCTTTTTCAAGGACCTAGTGAGCATGTATCAAAGAGTTTCCAGAATCAATCTATCTCATTTCATCACGCAAGTCAGAAACTCTAATGATGTTACCTGTGAATTGCACTTGAATTGGACTCTGAAAATGCTGCAGATTCTTTACCAGGTAGAAAACATTTGGCTCTGGTGGGCTAGAAAATACACATATAATTAGAATTTATTTCATGTATTAATTTCTTGAATTTATGAACATATGGCTTTCATACCTGAAATCCAATTGCTGATTACAAAGCAGTACACACTTTGTCTGCTCAGTGCTAAGAAACAGGAACTGTAATGTCAGATTATTGTTGCTTTGCCCCATTACCAGACCCCTTTGGTCCACTACACAAGAATAACCTGCATAGGGGTCTGCAATTAATGAGCCTGAACTCTGTTTCCCTCTTATTCTTCCATTAGGGGACTGTTCTGTCTTGTTGGCCCTACCCTAGGGGCAGGTTGAAATGTGAATGTGATGTTTGCTGTCTGCACTTTAATGCTGCAGAAGTTCTTTCACACTAATCAGCTGCTCTGTGGCCACAGAACATGGGGTTCTCTCTTCTTTTATTATTGCCCTAGCTCTGCAGCATCCCATACTCTACCCCTCTTCATGTTTTACCCACCACTGCATCCACCATTTTTTTAATTCTCTCAACAGGCCCATGTGCCAATTCTGGACACATGACTGACTTACCACTGGATTTGCCCCTGCTGTTGGTTTACAATTTGGGGACACATAGAAAGTTGGAGAATTTACTGTGGGATACATTTACACACTGACTCTTGAGCCTTAGACCATGTGGACCCTAAGCTAATGTCTTTGCTGGAAGCCATGGATTTGTTTGAATTAGCTATGCTTGAGTTTTATATACTGACCTGAACAGAATCTGTTTTTCTTCTGATTCCTCTCCCTTTTCCCCATATTTGCCACTTCTAAATAAAAAGCTTTTCTTTGTCCCTCTGCTCCCCCTTAGGTAAAATTTTCTCCCTTAGGTAATCTACTCTGAACATTCATTATGTCATTTTAAAATATGGCATAATACAAAGGGCCTGATTCTTATTTACACCAAGACCTCTTCTTTTCTGCTCTTGTAGTGAAGAAGAGCTTTAAATGGGTGTAAAACAGTATGTGCTCACTGTCAGAACTATGTAAAGGAGCTTTGGTGTAAAGAAAATCAGGCCCATGGAATTCTCAATTAATACACACGGTAGATTATGATTCTTAGCTATATGGTTCTATATTTATTGTATTGTTTTTGCACTTCTGTGCTCATACATTGCTTTGCTACTTTGTGAAAAATGTTATGGTACACATGCAATATAGTTATGTTTTATAAATTAAATGCTCCTAGCTCATGGGATCTGCTCTCAGTTTCCTTTTAACACTGTCTGCATCAATGCAGGTGAACTCTAGTGCTGGTTTCAAAATACAAGAAAACAACTTCTATGTACCTGAAGTGAAAAAGATTTGGAGCCAAGATTGGAATCTGAATGAAGGAACAGTAAGTATAACATCTTTCCAAAACTGCAACAGATCTTCTTGCTAATGTTTAGGAAGTTAAAAGTATTGGGGCCAAATCCTTGGGTCCAGCCCTTCTGTCCTTGGGTCTAGCTTTATATCCCCCCATTCCTAGAGCAACAGAGTATTAGGCTGGCCCCAAGACATCATTCATAACAGTAAGGTTTTTCTAAATTGTGCCAGTTGCCAATGGCTTCCAAGGGTTGTTTTGGTGGTTGGGATTGACTGGGCATAGGTATGCCCAGTTACACCTCTTTTTTCCTTGGTTACATTCACCCCTTCACTGGTGGCTGAGAAAAAGAGTTGGTATAGTAGTCAATATTGGCACTACATGATCTGGAGATTCCTCCACACCCGAGGTGGCCATATCCAGTGTTCCCGCTAAGATTTTCCATCCATGAGCAGAGTGAGTTTTGTCTTGTGAACCAATATTGAGGTCATGTGCATTTGTTCCGATATGTGCAATGAAGATTAATATTTAAACATGATTCTTCTTACTTCTGTAAAAATTAACTTTTTGTATACATTTTATTAGTTTCTATTTTGTATGAAACATAACTTTCACCCTATCGCCCTAAGTCCATGGACATATTTTCCTTAATATGGGTGTTTTCATTAAAATTAATTTGATGAATACTGCTATTAGTTTTCTTAAACTGTGAAATGTTCCAAAACAAAGAAAATAACTTTAGTCCAAGTCCCACATGTATCACAAAATGCAAGTATCAGTTTCCTCTCCCCTTCAAAGGGCTTACTTTAATTCTTGTCACTATCAAAATGTTTACAGGAGACCTACAATATGGTCTAGAAATTTGTATTTAAAATAGTGCTTGGCATTTTAGATAATACAGATATATAAAACAAAGCAAATATATGAGCAGTCCCCCTCCATGATGATCCAAAAATTCCTCAGATACAACATAAAAAAGGGGCACCATGATATTAATGTTGTCCTATACAAGAGACACTTTCAAAAGGCATCAATTGTAGCAGTAGCACAAACCAATACTACACCACAGGAAAATCCTGAAGGGCCCAGTGTGGTAAGCACACGGTCCATGGCCGCCCCTTTTCCTCCATTTTCTCTCATGGGAATACTCCATTGACTAAAGTTGCATAAGAAGATATTATATAAAAAGCAATTAAGTTAAAGAGCCTTTGGTCAAACCTAAAGCATACTTTGGACAAAAAAATGCCAGTAAAATATACAGAGAAGAGAGCTCTACTCAAGTCATAACCTGAAAGCTTTTCAGGTACACTAAGGTGCTATCCATGCACTACAGCCTCAGGAGCAGCCACTATGCGACACTGGCTCTGGCCCCAGCCTGGCCTTGGTAGCAGCTGCCATGCAGCCCTAATCTTGCCATGGCCCAGCCCCAGGAGCGGCTGCCACGTGGCTCCAGCCTGGGCCCAAGGGCAGCCATAACACTGCTGCCAGGGGCTGACACCATGTGGCCGTAGTCCCGGCCCAACCTCAAAGGCAGCCTCCATGGCCCCCCTACTCTCCCAACAACCCCACAACCATCAGCTCACCTTCCAAGGAAGGTGAGTGCTGCTACATGGCTCTGCTGAGGAGGTGGGCAGGATTCAGATTCTTTGTGTGCACTCATACAAATGCGCACCCTGGAAGGAACTTATGCCATGTCTAGTGGCCATTCATTGCAAAGCCCCTCCAAGGAAAGCAGGATCTGGCCTTCTGTATTTCCTCTCATTTTTGTGTTTATCCATCAGAATCACTATGCTTTTATACAGTCCTTTGAAACTTTTCACCAAGAACATTATAATTTGCTTTTAGTCATGGAAGGGAACTCTGTGATAACTTGAAACAAATCTTCACTCTAGATTTTGTTTGTTACTCAGACTTCTCTACAAACTATTTTGCACTGGTTTAACCAAATGCATGGCATGAAATCCTTGTAGTTATACTGGTGCAAAGCCCACTTTTGAATTATATTAAAATTGACACAACCCATTTTTAAGCTTATTCAAGAGTGTCCATACAAGGTTTTGTACTGCTTTAATTTAAACGAGTCTTATATAGGAACTAACCAATTAGCCCATCATAAGACGGGATTTTCAGGTCTCTCCTCCATGTCGGTCTTCTCTCCTGAGCCTCTGGTCTCTCGCTCCGTGTCTTTTTCTCTCTCTCCTCCTCCTCCTCCTACTGCCTCCCCACCCCTCTCAGCTCTTCTCCGCCTTATGCCTCTCTTTCTCTATTTCTCTTCTCCCCCTCCTGCCTCTCACTCTCTCTCCACTCACCTCTGTCTCCGTCGGGGATGCACGCTCGTCCAGGCCCCACCCTGTGGGCACGTATGTCACCGCCCTGCCCCCCTTTGTCTCCCTCCTTGGCACTCGGCTGACTTCTGCGCCGCTCAGCCGGTCGCCATACGGGAGCAAGTGGCGCAAACGGCCTCTCTCTCTTCTCCTCCTACTGCCTCGCCCTCTCTCTCTCTCAGCTCTCGTCTGCCTCCTGCCTCTCTCTCCATCTCTCTCTCTTTCTCTTCTCCCCCTCCTGCCTCTCACTCTGTGTTTCTCTTCTCCTCCTGCTGTGTCTCTCTCACTCTCTCTCTCGCTGTCCTCCGCTTCCTCCGTTCTCCTCTCTGCCCCCTCCATGTCCTCTGTGTCTGCTCCACTTTCCTCCTTTTGAATCTGGCGCCCTTTCCTGATGTCAGAGACACATGCTCGGCCAGGCCCCGCTCCTTTGCTGTTCCCTCTGGGTGGCACTGTTGCCTCCTGCCGTGGCGTTCGGCTGACTTCTGCACCACTCAGCTGGGCCGTTGCATGGGAGCAAGCAGCGCAAGTGGCCGTTTGGGCCCCGCGCTCCCCATGCAGCACACCCATGCAGCATGGGGAGCGTGGACCCCAAATGGTTTCTTGCGCCACTTGCTCCCGTGCAGCAGCCCTGCTGAGTGGCACAGAAGGCAGCTGAGTGGCGCAGAAGGCAGCCGAGCACCACGGTGGGAGGCAACAGCGCCTGTCAGAGGAAACAGCCAGTGTTTCAGTGTTACAGAGTCACAGACATTGGGCTACTATATATATGATATGAAGAAATTTCATCTTGGAGAACGGGGTCTGACTATACGCATCTCAGGCTGATTGAATATTGTGACAAAGTCAGGTCAGAGGTCTGGGATAAAGTGGAAGAAAGGCAGCCCTTTTTCCTACGAGGGAAAAAAGCCAACTCCCTTGTTAATGAGCAGTGAGACAATTAAAATATCTGACAAGGAGCTGTCTCAGGCAGATTAGAGATCAGCTGAGACAGTGCTACCTTGGATCAATTAGCACCAGCTCACTTCACTTCAGGCCTTCTGGAGATCTTTTAAAAGTTTCCCGTTACGTGGAAGAGAGAGAGAGAGAAGCAGAAGCAGAAAGCCACACTTATAGTTACAGAGCAAGAAAGAGGAGGGGAGTAAGAAATGCAGTAGGAGAGTCTGGGCTACCAGGTTAACTCGCTTCAGGTACATCCATGATTTGGCACTGATGGCTGAAATCAGCAGAGACCAGGTGTAAATTTCATCCTTGAAGTAAGTCTCTTGTATCTTTATCTAATAGTGGACTTTGGTTCTGAGCATCATTTGTTCTTAGTTTACAGAGTTTGATGTCTGTTTGCTTGTCATATGCTTGCTACTTGACTGAAGTATACAGCATGGTTTGTTGAGAGGTCTGTGTTCTAAGCCTACTGGCCTATTAGGTGATGCTGAGTGCTTCTTAGTGAGGCTTTGATCCCTTAACCCTTCAGGAACTGTTAACAAGGAGACCAGGCTACTCTCAGTTTAAGCATGTGTGGGCTCTGGAGATCAGAGAGGCTGAACTAGAGGAGCTAAGGAAGACAGAGGGAGATATAGTTGAGACTTTCCAGGGTCCCACCCATGAGTCTGTCAGTTTCAGTAATGCTGAGGATGAAAATCTTGCGGAAGAAGAACATTAAAGTGGAGCAAAGGGAAACAATCCCATGGGACCCTTTTTCCAGATGTCACAGTATCCTCTCACATTGAGGATACTTCTCCAGGAGAAGAGATCTCGGTTAGAGATGGCTATTAGAGATGGAAGAATCAGTTGTTAGAAATATACATAGCTGGGTTTGTGGTGATCGAAGTAACTATAGAGAGTTGCCTGTCAGGCATGAAGGTTCCACATCTCCCAAGACATCTAGAAGGCCTATGTGTAGTGCTGTGGAGGAACTGATGATAATATTTACATATAAGTACCAGTGATATAGGGAAAGGGAGGAGAGAGATCCTGGATTCCAGATGTAGGATATAAGGTGAAAAATTGAAGTCCAGGATCTCCTTGGTAGTAAGATCTGAAATGCTTCTAGTTCTATGCACAGGGACAGTTAGGCAGAGCTTCAGGTTTTTAATGTGTGGATGAGACAATGATGTAGGGTTTTAGGTTTATTAGGAACTGGGGAACCTTTTGGGGAAGGAGGAACCTGTACAGAAGGAATGGGCTCCTCCTAAATCACAACAGAATAGATAATCAATGGGAACAGTAATACCAGACTACAAAATACATAGGAATGACAGAGCATTCTGATGGGGAAATAGCACTAGATGTGAAAGGATGCATGAAATCAAATATAGAGAAAAAACTAAACTGTACCACAAATCTCTATAGATAGAAATTCCATGCTTGGATAACTAGAGTAAGAAAGAAAGAAATGAATGGAGATACCTATATCCTAGAACTGGAAGGGACCTTGAAAGGTTAAGTCCAGTCCCCTGCATTCACAGCAGGACCACATACCATCCCTGAAAGATTTTGCCCCATATCCCTAAATGGCCTCCTCAATGATTGAACTCACAACCGTGGGTTTAGCAGGCTAATGCTCAAACCACTGAGCTATCCCTCCCCTTACAGTAGAAATATACTACTGATCACCTGAGCAGGCTGGTAACGATGACATCCTCTAGGACAGGGATGGGGAAACTTTTTTAGCTTGGGGACTGCTGACCCACAGGAAAATCAATCGGGGAACCACAC